TAAATAGAGAGTGCAGAAAAAGATCAGAAGGGAAAAAAAAAAATTAATTAAAGGAGACTTTTTTTGCAATTAAGGCAACGAAATCGTTAAAATCGCTAAAAAAAACCTCGTTGCATACGTTTTCACTCATAAATGTGTTTCAATAAGTACATATGCCAATATGTATGCTCGTTTGTGCTATAGTAGAGCGGTACAGAGGCTGTATATGAAAGAATGAATGGTTGAAATTGGATTGAAAATACATTTTTCTTCGGTAAAGATAAAATGCGACGAAATTGGTAAAAAAAAATTTTGGGAATTTCATTGACAATGCGCTTTTAATTGCGATATAAAAGGGCAACGAAAATTTGGAGACTTTTCATGGTTGGCAGTAGATGCAATTGCCATTAGAAAAACTTTTTGTATACCGATGGGATCGCGCACCCAACCTGAGTATTAATAACAAAAATAATATTTTGGCGCTTAACTACACTTTTGCTTCTCCACTTTGTATTGTGTGTACTGTCGTTATAGCAGAAATGGAAGGACTTACAATTTTACGCCGCCTCCGAACGAAAAATGAGCATATAAGAAGCCTTTTGCAGTCAGAAATACATTCGGAGGTTTACCATTGCCTGCCGCGGAACGATCGAGGCAAGAAAAGCTTTTTATCGGACCAGGGCTCGAGCTCAGATCCTACGGAGTGGAAGGCCGCCCCACTAACTGCGCAAACATAACGGCCGTCTAAACCTAAGTATTATAGTTCCTTGGTTACAGGGACCGAAAGATTATTTGTTCAAAATATTGTCCAAAAAGCACTATGCTTTCCTTCTTATTACCTTAAACCTTCTAAGTAGGATATATAATTACATATATGTATGTATGTATGCATGTATGTATAATTACAAACACATCATAGCATTAAAGAAAATTCTCTTGTATGTATGTTCCGCACTCATAACTCCAAGCATTATTTATGCAGTATTAACGTAAACTTAATGGACTTTTTGACGGTAAGTTTCAAAAATATTGCATACATAATAAAAGTAGGGGCAGCCAAACACAAATAAATCAAAAGTAAAATGAGCGCTGCCTGGCAAAGCCACGAAAAGTGTGGACAGCACAAAAAGAAGTTAAACAGGAAACGAAAAAGAAAAATATTTGCTCTGCGCCTAAAAGTACGCTACGTAAATGCAGCACAAGCTGACAGAAAGATGCTTGACACATACACATGGGTGAGAGCGCGTAAGCAAATGTGTACCCTGGTGGAAAGTGCTTGCGATAAAATGAAATTTTCACAAAAAAAAAAAATTTTTTTGGGCTTTTTTCAGGGACGTAGAAGTCCAGAAAAATTGTTTAGAAGTCAGGAAGTGCCTCGTTCTACTGAGGAAGCAGATATCACTCTGTCTTATATCTGTACTTTTATTCGGCAAGTAACGATCGAATTATACCAAGCAAGTAAAAAACGATGGAGCGATTACAGAGCCAAATAAGAAAAAGAAGAATGATACGGAAAACATAACGTAAATGTACATTTGGGTACATCAATGCTCACAAAAAAAAATCGGTACTCTTTTTCCTTAGAATTGTAAAACTTAATATATTTTAAGACTTCCCCCAGAATATGTCGAAGAAATATTAAGATTTACGCGAGCCCGGCCGAAATCGAGTTTTTTTTAATAAGTAAAATTAGTTTTAAAAATATTTTTCTCACGAAATTATATCGGATGATAGAAAAGTGTAAGCCCAAAAGGTCTACATACATTTTTTTTTTTGAATTTTATCAACAAAATCAAAACATTAAGATTTTTGATGCTATTTTCAAATGGGTCCAGCTCATGTAAATCTTAACGTTTTGCCGAAATATTTTGTCGGAAGTTTTGGAATATAATACAATTTATAATCAATGGGAAACTTTCAACTTTCTTGGTGAGGCACCCTAATACACTTACAAATTTATCCCTCGTTTGCTGGAAGAACGTTGTAAGTCAAAAGCTCAAATGTGAGAAAAACAAAGTTGGGGATTCAAATGAGGTTCTTCCTTTTGAACAAAAATAAATAATAACTAAAGAAATATAACAAGTAGTATCGTAACATTTAATCGATTGAACAGATGTGTCTTTAAATCTTAATGATGTTTGATACCTTGGCCAATGAGTAATCCTTTTCTAATTATAAATGCTAGGCATAGTAGAAAAAGTAAAATTGCTTGAAGGGCGAATTATCTTTTTTTGAGGCAAAATTGACAGATATCCGGCCTTTTTTTTTTACACAACCAAAAAGAAGAGCTGCCGGCGGTTTTTGCTTAAATAACTCAACATGTTTTTTCTCTTTTTATTAAGACTTTTTTTCAGCAACTTACGTACGATGTATATATGCTTTTTTTCTAGCAAACTGCCAGTTCGCGCTTCCTACTTTTTATGTGAAAGCACTTTTGTACGTTTGCCAGACACATTTTGGCAGTTTGTCAGAAAAGTTGGTGTACTCATACAACTGCACGCGTGCAAAGCGTATATGTGGGTGAATACGACGTATAAAGTCTATGAAAAAGTACTCGTAATTTTTATTGTCACCGGTCGTTTGTGACTTTTTGTTGACAATCTTTGCTTGGCGGAAAAGTTTTTCATTTTAAGTTGGTTATCTTAAGTAGGCATTGGCAGACAGGCTGTAGACGGTGTTAAGATGACAAAAACAAGAAATGCATAAAAATACAAGTTTGATGCTTTGGGGTTGGGGAAAAGTCGTTATCGTAATAATTTTAAGGTGAACTTGAAAGGAAAAACATACAAGCCAAGGTTGAAATTCAAAGACGATAGTGAAGCGATGAGATAAAAAGACAATTTATGCTAAAATAAATATTTAATTTTATGAATCCCGCCTATAAATTCAGAACAATGCTTTATTGAACAATTATGTTAACAATTTGTATGTACTTAAAAATTTAGTAAATTAGTCGGTTCTTAACCAACTTTTATTTTCGAAGCATGCATTGCTTACTAAACACACAAAGAATTGAATCCGATAGCGAAATGATTAAGACCGGTCTAATTGCCTCTTGATCACTAAAAACACCTCCTAAACAATGATTGTTTAATTTGATGCCATTGAATTTTCTAATCGGGAGTGTAATTTGAAATTTAATAACCTTTTCGGAAACACCAAATGCGGAAGCGTGAGACATCGTAATCTTTAGGATATGTATGTACAGTGACTCAAACAAATGACTACGAGTTGACTTTTTTTTAATTCGTAATGTTTTTCGAGCTAAATTGTTTTGTTATTTTCTATAGAAATGCCGTCCAAGCTTTACCCAAAAATATATAAAACACAGTTTCAAACTATATACATATAAAATTTAGGAAAATTCAACAAATTTTCATGAAAATTTAAACTTTTTAATCTGAATCTTTAGAACATTTTTGAGTATGTCTAATTAAGTGAAAATTTCAACCGCCTAAAAAACGCTTTGATTTTTGAGAATTTTTCTCTGAGACTAATTATTCGATTTTTTTTTATACAACAACTGCAATTTACAAAAACTAAACCAAATTTTTTGAAATTTTGTTGCTAACGACCTACGGCTACGGCTAACGGAAAAAAATAAAAAATCCGTCTTCCAAAAAAAATTCTCAAAAATCAACGGGATTTTTTAGACGTATGGGCTATAAACTGCATACCCAAAAATACTTTAAAGATTCAGATTAAAAAGTTTAAATTCTGATGAAAATTTGTTGAATTATCTAAAATGTTTTATCAAGCTTTTTTTGGTTTTTAAATAACAAAAATAAAATGAGCCGAAAAACATTACGAACATTTAAAAAAATCAACACGTGGTCATTTGTTTGAGCAACTGCATGTACAATAAGGTGGTCCAAAAAAAATAAAGTCGGAATTTTAATGCTACCATCAACTAGGATTGTTCTACGCAAAAAAAAAAACTTGCCCCGGTCTTTTTTATTCTGAAAAAAAAACAATATTTAGAGGGTGCTCAAAGCGCTTTAACTTTCCCGTATCTCATATGAGAAAAAACCATTTTTGAAAATCAATATTTTTGCATCGGAAACTCTGTTTCTCTTGAAGAGACTTACAATAATAATACCCAATTGTTTATTTTCCATTTATTAATAGTAACGGTTTTTTATCGGCCCCCATTGAAATTTATGGGCTTTTTTGGGGGCTTGTAAAATATAGTTACTCTTAAAAACTGGCTAAATAAACAATTGGGTACATATTATAATTAGAAGTCTCCTGAAGAAAAACAGAGTATTCGTTCGAAAAACATTGGGTTTCAAGAATGCTATACCACTTATACGAAAATTATTTTTTTCCAATATAAAATACATGCAAAACTTTGAGCGCTTCGATCACCTTCTAAATATTTTTTAAATTTAAATTTCCGACTTTACTTTTTTTTGGACCACCCTAAAGTACATTTCCATTTCTTTCTAGATACACACACTTACTTATGAAGTTCCTACCGTGGCCTTAATATTCAACAATTCCAAACATTAGTGATAACTTTTCATTTGTAGCCTAAATGTATGCAACGCGTAATAATACTGCAGCTCTTCTACCGCAGCATATCTACCACAAGAATTTTATGGTAAATGCTTTTTGGTTGCTACTTTCCTTTTACATTCTGCTAGCGTCAGTAAGGGAGGGAAAACATTGGTATTTTGCCAAAAAAAATCACATATTTTAAGTATGCAGGAGATTATGAGAAAAAATTAAACGAAAAACGGACATGAAAAACAGAAAAAATATGTGAGGTTGTTCTCAACAATATTCCTTCTTTTTGGATTTAAAATACAGATGGCACGTTAAATACCTTAACTCACTAGTATTTCCTTTGTATAGAAAAAATGTGAAATTACTTAAAATACTCAAGTACAGAGCAGTTTAAAAATTACAACTAAAAGCCACCCGATATCTAGATTAAATATACTATAATTGGTATACCCCGGAATTCCAAGATCTTTCATACATAAATATGAACAAATTATTATTTTTTTTCTACTCACATTTGTTGACAGTTGACTGCTCAAGCTCAGCACCTGTTCACGCGCATCCAATAATTCACGCTTCAAACGACGTATTTCGTTGGCTTGTCGCTCCTCTGCTGAACCATACAGTGAGCTACCGCCAGAGAGCAGTGATGCGGCACTGCCGTGCACTACAAAATAAATAAATTATTTCATAATTTTAATACATTATCACAACACTAACACTATTTTATAAAATCACAAACAAACGATGCACACACTCACCTTCATCATTCTTCTTTGGATATGTGAGACGATGACCCGCTGTATTGCTGCTGCTACTAGCGCTTCCCGGCGCACCCACTAAGCCCATAATGCCTGGCATGCCAGTTGGATGTGTCGGCGAGAGCGTGGCACCAAAACCACGGCTGATTGGTGTTGGCGAGGTCGGTTGACTCCAGGCTACTGGTGCGCCTGTGGCGCCTGTGGCGCCAGCCGTTGGCTGTCCAGTCACCTGTGACATTGCTGCCGCGGCAACAGCGGCCATTTGCGCTGATAATGAACCATTTTGTGCGGTTATTGTGCCTACTGGGAGGCAATAGTAGGGTTCGATTTCGACATCGGGACCGCGACTCAACATCGAAGGATACATTTTCTCCGACTTTGTGGATCTGTGGGTGAAAAGAGAATGAGGGAGAAATGGTGTTAGTAGAATGTAATTTTTTTTTTTGGAAAATTCTTAAAGATTGGATTTTTTTTGAAAGCACATAGAAAGCAGTGATAAGCATATTTTTGAAGCAGTTGTAAAGATTTTATAAGCACCAAATGTTTGCGAGAACGAACAAATAAAGTAGGTTCAGAAAAGCATATCTACATATTTTTTTGAAATGTTTAAATACACTAAAAGTGTTTATAAATAATGTTTAAATATACGCTATTATGTACTATGCAGCTATACTTTTTTAAGGCAGTATTTGTTTTTTGTTTTTTTTTTTTTAAATTGGAGTTTCATGTGAAGTAAGCTAATATTTATTTTACAAAAATTTACACTTTCAGTTTAGCCAAAATATGAAGTGAGTCTTGCGACACATCTAATTTAAGTGAAAATCCTAATTTCCGTCTGTCGCTAACCACAAAATTGAAAACCTTTTAACGCCAATTGGAGTCAATCTTCACCCATGTAGAACGGCCGGCCTGCTCCCCTAGCTTATTAAACCGCAAGCATAGACATACATACATATGTATTTACCCAGCCTGTAGAGAAACGTACTTTTAGTGTAGAAGACAATTTCCATTTTTGTTAATTTTTTGCAATCTATTTTAAAACATAGTTAGTTGCAGCGTTTTTGACTGATATTCCATTCAAAATGATGCTCCAACTAACTTCAGAGTCGACTTTATTTTGACTATGAAAATGCCCCAATAGTTTAAAATATTTATTCAAACGGTAAATTTTAATGCAATTATACGTATTCGACAGTAGCTGTGTGTACAGAGGAGCATCCTACTATTTGTTAGCTTCCAGGAAGTCTGAGGTTCTAATGCTGTTAGACGCAACACATTAAAATTATATAAAAAGTAATTATTAAAATTGAAATAACGGCTTAACGGAATCGGCAAACGGATGAAATATCAGGTTTTTACACGAAATTGTTTCCATTTTCAGAGACGTTTCCGAATACATAAGTTTTTGCTGCTGGGTAATATGTATATGCATATGAGGCGTTCCATATCAAAACGGACGGGGTTCACACTTCATTTGTTTGATTTGTTTCAAATTTTTGGGGTAGATGAACAAACATTAATCTATATATATAAAATTCAAATTATGTATGTACCTATAGACACACTTGGCTCCTAAACGAATAAGCCGATCGTAACCAAATTTTACACACGCACTGGATATCTTCCAGGGATGGTCACAGGGTAAAAAATATTTTGATATATAAAGGGGGCGTGGCCCCAAAACGTGGACCCGGGTAACCTTAGGATGTATTTGTTTAATATGG